AACACAGATGAACTTTGAGGATATTATTTGGTGTAAAATAAGCCAGTCATAAATAGATAAATACTAGTTGATTCCACTTATATGAGTTATTTAGAGTAGCCAAAATGATAGAAAATAGATGATGTTTTCCAGGGGCTGGAGAGAGGGGAGAATGAAGAGTTAATAGGTAATGGGTATGGGTTTCAGTTTTAAAAGTTGAAAAGTGTTCTGGAGATAGATGGTAGTAATGGTTGTATAAGATTATGAATGTATTTAATACCACTGAACTGTGTACTTAAAAATGGTTAAGATGTTAAATTTTATGTGTATATTACCACAATAAAAAAAGTATATATGTATTTACAAAGTGTGGACAGTCATCAAATATAATAATCATGTAATTACTGGTGATTTAAAATTTTTATCAGTATTTTCTACTTTTGTATAATAAAAAAACTTGTTATATTGTAGAATTTACAGTGAGAACGACTTTTGTGATGAAAAATTATTTTTATAATGGCTAATTTCTTGAGCAAAAATTTTTTAAAGAAAGAAGCTTCAGTGGTGTATCATCTTCAAAAGGAAATGTCAAGAGGGAAAATTGTGTAGGAATTCTTTTAAGTCGATTTGAATTTTAATAAATTAAAGCATTTGGTTTAAATTTTTCAGAAAGGCTAATTTCTTATACTTTGTCAAAAAGGAATAATGACTCGCAGCCTCTGCCTAAAATAAGTCCTGGAAATAAAGCAAATACAGTCTCCTGACTTTGAGAAATAACAGGAGGTAGATATCGTACCAGGCCTCTGGGTGCCGCTGTCTGCCAGTCCGTAGCTAGAGTGAAACAAAGCAATCCATTGGCATTCTGACCCAGCGATCCCCGCCGACATTTGTGGAATATATCTGGAGTGGACTTCTTACGCCTTCTCTTCCACCATCTTTTCTAAATTTCTGCGTCAGGAACATCAGGATGTTTAACGACCCGGAATGAGGCGCTGCCTTTTCTCTCCAGTGTACCTTTGTAATCCGGGAGCAACCATGGCAAGATGTATTAGGATCTGAGAAGCAGCATCGAGAAGAGATAAGAAAGAAGTCCCCCACAGGAAAGGCACACCGTGCGCAGTAAGCAGTTTCCCTTACTGATGTCTTTGTTCAGCCTATTGAAGTATGCGTCAGATGTGCTGTGAGATTCTAGAAGAAAAGGCCAGTGGTTTAAAAGTGGGGAATCTGGGCAAAGATGTGACCAGAACTATGGGTGAGTGCCGGGAAGCCTCTTTACTGCCAGAGAAAGGAGCAGGGAAGAACTGGAGAATGATAGACTAGATCTAGCAGATAATGTTAAAGGAAGTCTTTAGGCCCTTGAATCTGAAACCCTCACTGGAAACCCCATGAATGCTTTTCATATAAATTTATTCATCCTGGATATAAATAATTTATGGTTTTTAATACATTTTGTTTTGGAAATTGTGGAAAACATCTTAAAATGAGCATAGTTCATTCTTAAACCCCAATATGTTTGGATGCTACAAGTAATTCTCTATGGATTTATCACATTAGTTTCAATAGCCATTTCCCCAGTCCCCACAAGTAAAAGAGAGGACTAGGGCAGGAATGGACCAGAGGAGCAGAGCTGCCACCAGTTAGTGGTAGGGAGGGGTAGGAACAGCTCGTGGCAAGATGAGGGAGTTGGATGCTAATGCCAGTGCTGCCGTACTGAGCCACAAGAAGTACAGCAGAATCTGCCTACAGGAGAACCTGCCCTCCACCACATGCTCTGCATTCTTCAGGGGGACTCTACTGACCTGGATGACACAGTAAGGTCGAGATCCCCTACACTTACTACAGTCTCATATAGCATATCTACCATCTAAAAGTGACAGTACCATCTTTGATTTTGGAGTGCAACAGATGCATCATGGAGTAGAAGAGAAGATTGGAGGCAGTTTAAGGGCCCCTTTCAAGATCCTGATTGAAATGGAGGTTGAGAACTACAGTGCTGTGCAGGTGACTTTCAGCTGGGTGTCTAGTCCTATTAAAGGCAAGAACTGTGGCTGCCCAAGCCAAAACAATGGAGAGGTGAAAGATACAGAAAGTAGTAAACACACAGTCAAACAATTCACTTCTAAGAATTACTATGCAATTCTTTGTAAGCTACAGACAGATGGAATTCTAAACTGGAAGCAGACCATGAAATACAATGTCACCACCGGAGCCACCAAGGACAAGCTGTCCCTCTCCTCCAGCATAAGCATCACCCTGCATATCACCACCATCAACAAAAAATGCTTGTTTTCCAGCAGACCTCTTTCTGCAGTCCAGGAGAATGGGAACACCTGCTATAAGTCTCCATCTCACACTTTAGTGCTTCTTACCCAGATGTGGGGCCCTGTGCACCTATTTCTTCCTGGCCAGCAACCTGGCACTGTGTGCACTGTCATCCAATGTGTCAGTAGGTGCAGAGCATGATGATGTTCACTGCAGGCTCCTTGTGATGGCAAAAATACACAGGCAGTGCTGTGGCAGGAGCTGCAGCCAGAAGTCATGCCCTCTTTGATGTGGAACCATGCTCAGTGCAGCTGGCTACCTGGTCACGAAAGTGACCAGCTGGAGAGCTTTGCTTGACTGTGCTATCATATGCTTCAGACCAGCTAATATGACTCTTCAACCTAGGGAGGCACAAGAGTGAGATTAGCACCATGGCACTGTGAGCAACAGAGATGTTGTTCTACAGGGGTTGCTGGTCACTGCATACAATACCAACAGTCATCGTGCTGCACCTGGTCTTTGCAGAAGTTGCTGCCAGAACTCAGCAATGGCCTGGCACCAGGTGCCAGGCAGGCAGAGCTACAATTTTACCTGCCTGTGGCCTTGTCCTTGATATCTGTGCTCTTCTCCTCACAGTGACTCTGGCCTTCACCCTGCTTCTGTGGGGCTCCTCCAGCCCTACTTTCAGTCTGGTCTCTGGTCCAAGCCTAGATTTGGAGATACTTCTACTTCAAGTGAGATTTGCCCTAATTCTACCATCTTTGTGTGGCTTCAGATACTGTAAAGTCTTAATTTAATTTCTTGAAGTAAACCCAAGATACATCTTTTAACTGCATAGTCTCTGTGGTGCCTGCAGTGCAACCTTAAATATTACATTGGATTCAAATGTTTACCTGTGAGTTTTAACACGTTTATTTTGTAATATCCTGTTATAAATCAACTCTGGTTGGTTTTTTTGTTGTTGTTAAATGAGGAGAAGCTCTGCAAGTTCACTTTCTAGTTTCTGTGTGTATTTTAATTTCTTTCACTAGCTCAGACAGTCCCTTTGGTGAAAAGTTTGTTTCTATTAGTGTATATTCTAAAAACTTATATTTTCTGCTAAAAAGTCCTTTCCTTGAAATATTGAAGGAAGTTTGCTGAATCTTTAAGCTTTTGGGTTCCATATACTTGTTTTGAGAAGCTGAAAAACTATAGATTTGGTTACACAGGAATAGATATTCTCTTTCTAAGAACTACTCTTGTGGCCTTTGTTTCCTTTATTTCCTTATTTTCTGGACCCTTCTCAATTGTGTTCATGGGTAGACTGCCAGTATCTGGCCAAATTTGCTCCTGAAATGTTAACCTCTAGAATGCAGAAAACATTCTTCCCTAACTTTTGGGTAAATCACTCGGAGCCTCAGACATTTTAATTAGTAACCTTTTACTAATTTTGCAATGAGTAAAAGAAGGAAGGCAATCTAGTTTAAAAATCTTGCTCTTTAAGAAAACCAGCTTCTCTTGGGGGAATATTAAGTGTGATTTTAGGAGAATGCATATTATTTTAATGGCCTGTCTAAAAATAAAGATGTGGCCCTGTCCTTTTCAGTTTTGAAGAAGAATATCACTACCTCTTATGTCTCTTAAATTTGAAGTCTTAAATTAGATACTCATATGGCATTTTCCAGTAAATTCCAAGAGCCCAGTGTTATTTTATTCAAAATACATTACCTTTGAGTGAATTAAAGATCTTTTAAAATCTACATAATACAAAAACTTCAGAAAAGTGGAAAAATAAGGTTAGGGTTAAAACACGTTCTTTAAAATTCCAAGGATATTCAAAGCACAGTGGAAATGAAATGGGACAGTCCAATTTTTAAATGTCTAGCTTACATCCTAAAAGTTTATTTATGCCTTGGGGCAACTGGGTGGCTTAGTCAGCTGAGGGACCATCTTTGGCTCAGGTTGTGATCTCAAGGTTCCTGAGTTTGAGCCCCACATTGGGCTAGCAGTTGTGCAAGCTGCTGTCAGTGCAGAGCCCGCTTTGGAACCTCTGTTCCCCCATCTCTCTCTGTTCCTCCCTTGCTCTGTCTCTCTCTCAAAAATAAATAAACATTAAAAGAAAAAAATTAAAAGTTTACTTATCCTCCAGTTTTTTTAATCCTCCAGTCAAAAGGCGATTGCTCTTCTGTGTGGCCTGAGAAACTGTCAAATGGTCAAGCTGTAGTAGCATAATGGAGGTATGATTTTGTCACTGTGATATTACATGAATAACACATAGAAAGCAGATAGCTTGGAAATAGGGGGATTCTACTGTACATTGCAATTTAGCAACAGTTAGATGTGATTAAATAAAAATAGTACTTTCTAATTCTCATACATATTTTGTAAAATGCTTAACTATTTCCTTGACAATAAACTAAGACTTAAGGAAAGATAGGTCAGGTTAATGAGAAGGGAATGTTTAAGTATTACCTAGGAGTGTAGTAACTGGTGAGGACTCTGGGCGCCGCTGTTCACCAGTCTGAGAGAGAGAGGCAGCATGCGCGCGCGCGCGCGCACACACTCACACATCCCCAAAGGGAAAAAAAATAAAAAGCTTCTTAGAACGAACCTCCATCACCGCCAGATTGAAAACAACCTCCCTGAAGCTTCCTTGACCCTACTTCTGGACCACCTTCTGCTCTGAAATCTCCTGAAAATTCAGTTAATTTGGGCTTAGAAGAACAGAGAAACAATACCGTTGGTACCAGACTGGGAGAAAACTACGAAAGGAGAGAGCAATGGTGATTCGGGGGAAGCAGCCCAGCTGCAGTGAACTGTTCCTGCTGTGCCTTTTTCTGGGACTGTTGTTGGAAGCTTGGGCCGGGAAGATCCAATACATGGTGCCAGAAGAGACAGACAAAGCATTCTTTGTGGGCAACATCGCCAAAGACCTGGGGTTACAACCTCAGGAGCTCACGGAGCACAGAGTTCGCATCATCTCCAGAGGTAGGACGCAGCTTTTTGCTCTGAATCATCGAAGTGGCACCTTGGTCACAGCGGGCAGGATAGACCGGGAGGAGCTCTGTGCTCAGAGTGTGCAGTGTCTGGTGAGTTTTAACATCTTGGTAGAGGATAAAATGAAGCTTTACCCTGTTGAAGTGGAAATAATTGATATTAATGACAACACTCCCCAATTTCAGTTAGAGGAAGTAGAATTTAAAATGAATGAAATAACTACTCCAGGTACCAGGATCCCTCTGCCTTTTGGGCAAGACCTTGATGTTGGTATGAATTCACTGCAGAACTACCAGCTAAGCTCCAACCCTCATTTCTCCCTGGATGTTCAGCAGGGATCTGATGGATCCCGATACCCAGAGATGGTGCTACAGAGTCCCCTGGATAGGGAAGAAGAAGCTGTGCACCACCTCGTCCTCACCGCCTCTGATGGGGGCAACCCAGTCCGTTCAGGAACCCTCCGCATTCATGTTCAGGTGGTAGATGCAAATGACAACCCTCCAGCATTTACTCAAACACAGTACCACATGAGTGTCCCGGAAAATGTGCCACTGGGCACTCGGCTGCTTACGGTAAAAGCTACTGACCCAGATGAAGGAGCCAATGGGGAAGTAACATACTCATTTCACAATATAGACCAGAAAATAGCCCAGATATTTCAATTGGATTCTGACACAGGAGAAATATCAAATAAAGAATCCCTGGATTTTGAAGAATACAAAATTTATCCAATGGAAATTCAAGCTCAGGATGGTGCAGGCCTCATGGCCAGAGCTAAGGTGCTAGTCAAAGTTCTGGACATAAATGATAATGCCCCAGAGGTAACCATGACATCTGTCACCACTGCAGTCCCAGAAAACTTTCCTCCTGGAACTATCATTGCTCTTATCAGTGTGCATGACCAAGACTCTGGAGACAATGGTGACACTACATGTTCCATTCCTGAAAATCTACCCTTTAAATTAGAAAAGTTAGATGATAATTATTATCATTTAGTGACAGAAAGAACACTGGACAGAGAACTTACCTCCAGGTACAACATCACAGTAACAGCAACAGATAAGGGAATTCCAACTCTATCTACGGAAACCCACATTTCACTGAAAGTGACAGATATCAACGACAACCCCCCTTGTTTTCCCCAGGATTCCTACTCTATCTTCATTCCGGAAAACAATCCCAGAGGCGCTTCCATCTTCTCCTTGACAGCTCAGGATGCTGACACCAATGAGAATGCACTAGTCACTTACTCCTTGGCAGAGGACACCATTCAGGGGGCGCCTCTATCCTCCTACATTTCCATCAACTCAGACACTGGCATTTTATATGCCCTGCGATCCTTCGATTATGAACAGTTCCGGGACCTTCATCTGAGAGTGATGGCGTATGACAACGGGGATCCCCGACTCAGCAGCAATGTGTCGCTGAGCCTGTTTGTGCTGGACCAGAACGACAATACGCCAGAAATCCTGTACCCAGCGCTCCCCACCGACGGTTCCACAGGCGTGGAGCTGGCGCCCCGATCCGCAGAGCCCGGATACCTGGTGACCAAGGTGGTGGCGGTGGACAGAGACTCTGGCCAGAACGCCTGGCTGTCCTACCGTCTACTCAAGGCCAGCGAGCCAGGGCTCTTCACGGTGGGGCTGCACACCGGCGAGGTGCGCACTGCACGGGCCCTGCTGGACAGAGATGCGCTCAAGCAGAGCCTGGTGGTGGCTGTGCAAGACCACGGCCAACCCCCTCTCTCGGCCACCGTCACGCTCACCGTGGCCGTAGCTGACAACATCCCAGATGTCCTGGCAGACCTGGGCAGTCTCAAGCCCTCAGCGGACCCTGACTCCTCAGGCCTCACGCTGTACCTGGTGGTGGCGGTGGCTGCAGTCTCCTGCATCTTTCTGGCCTTTGTGATCGTGCTGCTGGGACTCAGGCTGAGGCGCTGGCACTCGTCCCGTCTGCTCCAGGCTGCGAGGGTTGGATTGGCTGGCGTGCCAGCCTCGCACTTTGTGGGCGTGGACGGGGTGGGGGCTTTCCTGCAGACCTATTCCCAGGAGGTCTCCCTCAGGGCGGACGCCCGGGAGAGTCACGTGATCTTCCCCCAGCCCAGCTATGCCGACACGCTCCTCAGCCAGGAGAGCTGTGGGAAAAGCGAGCCTCTGCTGATAACTCAGGATTTACTTGAAGGCAAAAAGGAAGCATTTTCTCAGGTAAACGTTTTGTAAATTTATCTAGGTAAAAATAATTACAGAGTTTACTTACCTTTCACTTTTTACTACTAACAGTTCTATTTCCCACATAGCTTTGTAGATTTGTGTTTACAAATTCTGGGAAATTATCATTGTGTGTTTATATCCAGGTATAATTATAATTGCTGTTTCATTGAAAAGGAAACTGTAAATTAACTCTAATGTTAATGAGTATTGTGTGAGATGCTATGTTGGTTGTGGAAAGAGCACTGCATCAGAAACAAGGGGATCTGACTTTTAATATTTTCTTGCTTTCCTCTGGCCAAATAATCTTATTTTTTCTGAGTTTACCATTCTCTTACCTGGCAAGGATAGGGTTTAACTATAAAAGATCCATCAATATTTATGTGACTAAGAGTGTTTTCAAATTTTTCTCAGTTACAAATACTAATTTGTCCCTAAATTTAATATAGATGTTGTCTGTCAAAGTGCTATTTTATTTGGGGATGTTTGAAGAGGTAAAGATTGTCTAAAGTAATATTTTTATCTGTGTTAGGATTAAATTATACAAATCTATGTAAGTTGTAAATTTTTGTTGAATACCTTAGCCCTTTGCATAGTCTGTTATTTTTAGATATTTTATGCATGCTGAAGAATACACTAGATGTTTAAGTAACTTATGAAATGAGGTAATAAAGTGAACGATGGAAAATTTACTGTGCAACTTGAGAAATAGTTTCAGAGCCTCCTATCTTGTATATTATGCCCATAATGGAAACAACTGACACAAACTAAGAATATATTTCATTTTAATGTGTGTGTTAACTCTTCACAGGAAATGTATCATAGATGAGTAAGTCCATGCTTTGATATACTTACTCTGCTCCAGTAAATTAAAGAGATATACCAAATATAAAAAGAAGAAAGCCAAAGCATGGTAAGGCACAAATAAAAGATAAATATATTAATGAACCAAAGATGGAAAAGAAAGTGGTGAGCCAGGCTAAAGCTGTGGAAATTCTAGGCTTGGCTTAGATGCAGACATTGAAGATCAACAGGTTGTTCCAGCACTATAACAGGAACAAAGTGCTTTGGGCTAAACAAGGGACCTGAGCCACACATACTACTTGAATCTAAAATAAGCAGTTCAGCCCCTGAGCTAGTTCAAATTGGCTGCCTGCCAATTCCTGTGGTGACAACTTTTTGTAACCTGCAGACCAAGGGAGAGAGGTAGATCCAGATGCTGGCTTCAGAAAATGAACACTAAATTTCTTAGACTTGAGTTGTAATATTCATAGTATTACAGCTGCACACCACTAAAAGACCTACTTATGGCCTGGGACCTGGGATAGAATAATTTCAAAACCATTTGAGACAAATCCCTGAACCCAGGAGGGAGGGAGAATGGGAGAGAAAGTAGAAGAAAAAGACCAATTAAAAAAAAACTCTTCTGGGGCACCTGGGTGGCTTAGTCAGTTGAGTGTCTCACTTCAGCTCAGGTCATGATCTCATGGTTGTTCAGTTAGAGCCCCGAATCGGGGCTTGGGGGCTTGCTGATGTCAGCACAGAACTGACAGGAATCCTCTGTCCCCCTCTCTCTCTGCCCCTCCCCTGCTCATGCTCTCTTTCAAAAATAAAGTAAAATAAAATAAAATACTCTTCCACTTAAAATAAATGTACAAACCAAAATGTTGAAACACATTGTCTTCTAGAGTTATTGTTGCTAATGAGATACTTTCAACAAATTGTCATTTTTAAGGTATCTCCATTTTCTCTCTGAAGGCTTTAAAAAATTTTCTCTGATTCTTGTTGTATGTCTAAGTGTTGATTTTTATTTTTATTATCTGTTTGGAGTATACTTTCTATTAATAATATAAGTTATTTCAATTCTGGATTTTCTCAGCTCCTATTAATGAAAAATTTTGCTTCTATGTGTATCTTACAATTTTATTTATTATACCTCAATAAAGCTGGAAAAATTACAAAGCAAACATTTAAAAATAGTAAAAGGAAACAAAAAAGTTTGGACATTTAAATCTATACTCCTATATTACTCTTGGACTTAAGAAAATCACAATGGAAATAAGAACTACTGTAGAAAGGAACAAAAATTAAGATATTATTTAAAATTGTGAAATACAGCTAAAAGAGTATTTAGGGGTAAATTTATTGATAAATACAATAACTAAAAGTTAAAGAAAACAAATTATTTAAAATAAGTGAATTTAGCAAGCCACTCAAGAAACAAGGCAAAAAAACCCACATTATATCAGCATAAACTTAAAGAAAATAATAGGAAAAATAACCAAGGTAAGAGTATAAATTATTGATATGCAAAGAAGGAAGAATTCTAATGAAAAAGCAATAGAGGGGCGCCTGGGTGGCTCAGTCAGTTGAGCATACGACTTCAGCTCAGGTCATGATCTCACAGCTCATGAGTTTGAGCCCTGCTTTGTCAGGCTCTGTGCAGACAGCTTAGAGCCTGGAGCCTGCTTAGGATTCTGTGTTTCCCTCTTTCTCTGCCCCTCCACTGCTTGTGTTCTGTCTCTCTCTCTCAAAAAAAATAAACATTAAAATTTTTTTTAACAATAGAAGCAGACAGTAAAAGTCATACTGAAACTGGTGGGAAGAAATTAAAATTCTGTCAAGTCCAATGGTGGGACTAATATACAGTAGGCAGATGTCATGGCTAAAATTCTTTTTAAAGATTTTAAAAGAAAACCCCAAATTCTGATTAAAAACAAAGTCTTGGAAAAGGATAAAGAAAAGCAAGAGAAACTGGGGAAAAAATAAAACAACTTGATAAAAAGCAAGAAGAATGAGTGGGAAATAATATACAGAGTAAAACCAGATATTGTCAAAGACAAAGAACAGATAATCTTTAGAGAGCTACAATAAGGGATGTTGAACAATTATTTAATGAGACTTGAAAGCATCAAAACAATGTTGATGAAAATATTTTTAAAAATCTAAGAAAAAGTGGAGGCTCTACTAGAAAACAAGGTGAGTTGATACCAATTGTTTGCAATTTTTTCCATTTTCAGAGGAATAGGTAAAAGTAAAATTGGGGGCACCTGGGTGGCTCAGTTGGTTGAGCATCCAACTCTTGATTTCAGCTCTGGTCATGATCCCAAGGTCATAGGATCCAGCCCTGTGTTGGGCTCTGCCCTGAGTGTGGAGCCTGTTTGGGATTCTCTCTCTCTCTCCCTCTCTCTCTCCCCCTTCCCCTCTGTCCCCCCCAAAAAAAGCTCTGT